AAGGCTTGATATTTTATAAATTAATTATTGATTAAATCAATTAGATGGTATATTTCGATGATTTTATAATTTTTTTTAGTATTACTGGTTCTCCCAGTATTTTATGTATCTTATAAACTTTATTTAGAAAAAAAAGGCCTTTTAAAACTTCATAAAAAAATATACATATATAAAGGATTTAAAAAAATTCAAACATTTTAAGTATATTGTCGGCCATTCACCAAAAATTTCGAAAAGAAAAAAGTACTAATCTAAAAAAACAACTAAAAGAAACCTTTTGAAAAGTAATTCCTTTAATCTATCCATATGCGAACTAGAGTCATCAGCTTTTAACAAGTTTTATGGTGACCACTTTTGCTGACTGTCAAAGAATTTATGCCGATTGTCAATTGACATCGTCACCATCAAGAGTTATTGGCCACCAAAAGTCAAACACAACACATCTTACCATGGTAGCTTCAAATTAACACAACCTTCTGTGTTTTAAAGAAGGTTACTTTATTGGGAAGTTAGTACTAGCTGACACAAAACTTTAATTCTGACATAAAATTGATTTTTTTTTTTAGAAAAAAAAAATTCAATTTGTGATTCCAAAAAAAAAACCACAACATTAATTCTCAGTCACCCGAGAAAGTATGGAAGAACTCATACCTGATATTGATTTGTTAATCAAATCTAAAATTGTAAATGATACTAATGAAATTGCACGATTACTCAAGAAAATTGGCCAAAAGCTTTGGTAGAACCTTGTTAATCAAGAGAATATGATTACTTTACAAATGGCTGATCGCTGCTTGTCTATTTTTAAGATATTTAAGGCCACTAATAAGATAGCAAATAAAGATTTAGTAACAATTCAGGAATTTATAGCATTAAAAGATTTTTTATTAAAAAGATATTGCAATCCAATAATGATCCAACAGATTTTTTCTCTCGTGTTGATGACTTTTACAGGTCACTTAGAAATATTCAATGTAATCAAGCCAAGAGCATCATATTTCAAGCCCAAGAGGTAACAAATAATTCTGAAAAGGTTATTATAATTAAGGATAGATAACAGATCATTGCATGAATTACTTTATGATATTACACAACTCGCAATTAACACTCTTCGTGACGATACAATTAACATGCAAAAAATTGCATCTAATTTTAAATTTTTTTTCATATATAAAAATTAAACAGAAAATCAAAAAAAAAATTATATAATTATACATAAATTAAAAAAAAAAAATGCTAAGAAACCTAATCTAAGCCACCTTAAGTAAAAAAAAACTCGATCTAGTGCAAGGTTGTATCATCCAAGTAAAAAAATCATTTCTGATTTTTAAAGTAATCAGCCAAACTTTCATACTTTAGAGATGCAGATTTTTGTGATGAAGGGAGAGATGCGGAATTTTGTTATAGTGGAAGAATCACAGATTTTGGGGATTGGGAAAATGCGGAATTTTTTGGTGATGGGGGGAAAGTTGTAGATTGTTGTGGTTGTGAAAAATATAATTTCAAATTCAAATCATAAATTTCTTTCTGATAACCTTTTATTTGGTCAT